AGATAGATAGATAGATAGACAGATGGACAGACAGACAGATAGATAGATAGATAGATAGACAGATAGATAGATAGACAGATAGACAGATAGATGGATAGATAGATAGATAGATTAGATAGATAGATAGATAGATATAGATAGATAGATAGATAGATAGATAGATAGATAGATAGATAGACAATGGATTAGATAGATAGATAGATAGATAGATAGATAGATAGACAATGGATTAGATAGATAGATAGATAGATAGATGACAGATTTACATGGATGGATAAATAGATAATGGATTAAATAGACAGACAGTGGATAGATAGACAGATAGATAGAAGATAGATAGATGGATGGATAGACAGATAGATAGATAGATAGATAGATAGATAGATAGATAGATAGATAACTTCTTTTTGGAAAGGTAGATAAGATAATAGATATGAGCTATGTAGAGATAGCATTTAAATGGATAGTAATGGAACAATAGATAGACTATAGTAAGACAGTTATGGATAGATAGATAACAGTTAGGATAGATAGATAGATAGATAGATAGATAGATAGAAAGATAGATAGATAAGAGATATGAGCTATGTATTTATATGCATTAAAATGGTAAGTAATGGAATAGAGACTATAGACAGACAGTGGATAGACAGACAGATAGATAGACAGACAGATAGATACATATGGATAGATAGATAGATAGATAGACAGATAGATAGATAGATAACTTAGATTTTTGGAAGGTAGATAGATATGATAGATAGATAAATAGAGCTATGTATTTATATGCACATAAAATAGTAAGTAATGGAAAAATAGATAAACTATAGTAAGACAGTTAAACAGGATAGATAGATAGATAGATAGATAGATGACAGATACATGGATGGATAGATACATAATGGATTGAATAGAGAGATAGACAGACAGTGGATAGATAGATAGATAGATAGATAGATAGATAGATAGATAGATAGATAGATAGATACATAGATACATAGATAGATAGATAGATAGATAGATAGATAGATACAATGGTTTTGGGAATGTAGATGTTATAATAGTTGAAAGCTGTATATTCCTATGTATACAGATAATCATGCACAGTGAATTATGACAAGAGATATATATATATATAGATATAGTAAATAGACAGATACTGTAGATAGATAAATAAGTTTTAAGAAGGTACCATATATGTGATAATTGTTGAGAGCTGTTTGCTAAATGCTAACCATTTAGCCATGGTGGGGTAGCATAGTGGCTAAATGTTGAGCATTTCCACTGGCAGTACTGGGATCGTTGGTTCAAATCCCAACCATGGCACTACCTGCATGGAGTTTACAAGTTCTCCTGTGCCTGCAGGGGCTTCCTCCGGGTCCTCCGGCTTTCTCCCACACTCCAAAGACAAGCTGGTAGGTTAATTGGCTCCCGCCTACATTGGCCCTAGTATGTGTATGTATGAATGTGAGATAGGAACCTTAGATAGTACACTTCTTGAGGGTTAGGGACTGATGTGAATGTACAATATATTGCTGGTGCTATATAAATACCTGTAATAAATAAATACATTTATTCCTATGTATGCAAATAACCAAGTACAGCTAGCTATGGCTAGTTATAGATAAATAGATATGTGGACTAGAAAGCAAGCAAGAGAGAAAGAATGAAAAAAATAGATATGTATGTTTAGATTGACAGGCCAATGGATATAGATTAGATCACAGATTGGTTGTTTGTGTGCAGTCTATATACACATCAGACCCTCCAATACACACAATCTCTCACGCACACTGCCTCTCATACTGAGACCTTACAAATTGTGAAGACAACGCCGTCAACTCTATCCAGATATCTCCTGACCATACACAGCAGGTAAAGCTGGGTACACACTATAAGAAAAATCCTGTACAAGGAACAATCGGTCGATTATCTGATCGTTAGTATAGTGCTTTTGACATCCGATTACGACTATTCAGGGGCGGACTGACCATTTGGAAACTCAGGCACTGCCTGAGGGCCCAGCGTCAGTAGGGGGCCCCATGAGATGCCCCTGGTACCTTTTTCATAGGCTTTTTTGAGTTTGGGCAAGACACAGGGGCCCCATGATCCCCTATTGCGGGGGGGCCCCATGAGTTGTCAGTCCGCCCCTGACAGTAACCATACGTAAGTAACTGAATAGAATAAAATGTGCATGATGAAAAGCAAAGAATATCCCAGAAGAAGGTGGCAACAAACATAGAAATCCTACAAACGAAAAAATGTTTGCCTTTGTCATTCAAATATAATATAAAATATTAATACTTTTATCGGTTACACCATGATACGCATCTTCGTGAAAAATTAGACAATCATTTGCTTGATTTTCCCATAGTGTGTACCCCACTTGAGTGGTTCTGATCTCAGAGACCATGATCTGATATGTGTATCAGGGGCGGACTGACCATTTGGAAACTCGGGCACTGCCCGAGGGCCCGGGGTCAGTAGGGGGCCCCATGAGATGCCCCTGGTACCTTTTTCATAGGCTTTTTTGAGTTTGGGCAAGGACACAGGGGCCCCATGATCCCCTATTGCCCGGGGGCCCCATGAGTTGTCAGTCCGCCTCTGATGTGTATCCATCCTGAGACTGCACCCCACCAGCTCAGTACCATAGTGATGAGATTCTGGCAATCAAACAGACTTGTCCCTTGTTTGTCTCTGATACAATTTATTGGAGTGAACAAATAGAAATACTGTTAAAAGTCCAACATGTGCATGAGTGTGAAGTTGGGAGGAGTGCCCGGTGTGAAATGAAGAAAAGGTCGGGATGATCCAATACTAGTCTAGCATGCTTCAACTGATAAGAGCCTCGAGAAAACTCCTTCTTCTGGGTTTGTAAACTTCTGAGTTGTAAACTGCAAAGAACTCCAACACATAGCGGTCCGTGCTTTACATACTGGTATAAATAACTATCACAACACCGAGACTTTTTAAGAAAGAGAATTCAAACAAAGATGAATGGCTGAACATAATATCTTAAAGTGTACTAAATCCAAAAACAGAAATGCCATAAATTACCAATCCCAAATGTGGTGGCTGCACTAGATTTCTTTTGTTGTTTATTTTCTCTCTTTATTTTCATGGTGATCCTGCCAGTAACACACTTCTTGTTTAATGGTGGCCATACATGCTTTGATGAATGATAGATTTCTTTTTCATTCAACATCCTTTGATTGGAATAATTGATCTATAATCAACAGTCCACTCAATTGATATGCTACACACAGGGAAGTGAATTTCAATTGCTAGTCAGAGTGATATTAAACCCTCAGTATTTTAAAGCACTTTCAATCACTGAGTATGGTGGCTTCTTTATCATTTTTATCTTGGCTATTATTCAGTTTAAGCTTGTGCCATTATTGCTGCCACATCTTTCCTGTTTTGGGGTGCCTCCTTTCTTTTGCAGCATCCTATGGAGTCACCCTTGCATGCAGGGACTAGAGTTGAGTCTCCCTACACTGTGTGCATCAATAGAAACACACAGCCCCATAGCCTAGGATGGCAAGGCATTCCCCTGCTCCTCCCTCCTTCTCCCTTTTCCAAACAAACTCACTAGAGAGGTGGTGGTCAACTTTCTTGATGGGAGGGCTCATGTATGACCCCCAACTCCACCAAACCACCAAAGGGCCAAACATAAGATTCGGTAAATATTCATTATGAGAAATAGCAGCAAACAACGGAATATAGTCAAAGACTATGGGAATGATACAAGGGGGTTGATTTACTAAAGGCAAATTTAATGTCCTTTTTTAAGTGCAGTTGCTCCATAACTTAGTAAATGAGGGGAAGCTCTGCTGACTTCCATCATCCAATCATATGCAAGCAAATTGCAGTTTTTTTTATTTTCTTTGCATGTGATTGTCTATTCTTTGCAAAGTAAAGCCTTACCCCATTTACTTAGTTCTGAAGCAACTGTACTTGCAAAGTGCACAGTCTATTTGTCTTTAGTAAATTAATCCCAAGAGATAATAGAGACTGCAGACATGGTACAGGAGATGATCAGAGACTGCAGCCATGCTGCAGGAGACTGTCAGAGACTGCGTACATGCTATAGGAGTTGCTGGAGATTGGGGACATGCTTCAGGAGACAGTCATAGACTGCATGAAGGTAAAACACCTTCTGCCTTTACAACCACTTTAAGGTAAAAATTGCTGAGGTTTTTTATACTACTTTAAAATATGATCATAACTTCTGATCTCAAGTTATAAATCGCATCTCTGTTTCCACCATGTCATTTTGTAATCTGATCAATCAAAATAAAATTGCCTACATGAACAAAGTATCTCAATGCTTCCAGTCGATGCAAAACAGTCAGTATACTTCCTGGCTGATCAACTCAGTTTTATCTAATGCAATCTAAATTGATTGGAAGGGAAGTTATGGCTATTTAACTGTGTACAGATTTCATAGAATTTCACATCAATTGGATAAGAAAATTGAAGTGTGTGTGGCCACCGCTGTGAATGGAGGAGCAACTGAGACACCTTTGTACAGCAGCATTTTCGCACTGGAGATGTAGTGTTAGATGGACTAGCAAATTTAGATAGACTTGACTAACAAACTGATCTCCAGCTACCACTTTTTAAGCAGTTATAGCAACAGTTTTTTTTTCTTTTGGTTAAAAGGATTTACATAAATTAATAAAAACTGACCATAATATCAGTGGTTTGTCTCAACCCACTAACTGCCATTTTTGCTGGCCAGATTTGTCTGTTAAATGAAGTAAAAAAATAACAAACTTACTGGCTAGGTCAACTGAAGAAAATAAAGGTAAAAAAGTAGAGAAAAAAAAAACGAATGCAGCCACTACTTCCAAGTATTGGTAAGCTGCAATATATTACATTTTTATTTTGGGTTTAGAACCACTTTAACAGTCATTGGAAGGGGTTTACTCTGGCCCCACTCTGAGAGTCATGTTCTCTGTCTCTGCAATAAAGTTTCAGCTTCGCTTTTAATAAGGTTACGAGCAAAACATTTTGCTGCCAGATTTGGGGAATGCAATAAACTCTTTGTTTGTGTCATGTCCTTTAGGTATAGTGCTAGGGTTCCCAACGGAACGTCCTAAGGAGCCAGCTTCAAGAACGCTTTTCCTTTAGTGGTGGCCCAAGAAACGGTGGTGTTAGTGAGTGCTTGGTTCAAAGTGCTGTGCCTGAACAATGGGTCGTGAAACACCCCATCAACCCAATTTCTCAGACTGGTTACAGGGGAATCTTGACGCCTGTCAATAACACAGACTGGAGTGGAAACAGCAGAAGAAGATGAGGATGAAGAAGGTGAAGACAACCCTTGGTGCTTTAGCATACATGATGGGTATTCAGTTTGATTTAAGGAGGTGGCAGTGTGAGCCAGTGACCATATGCGTGGTTTGGAATCCAGTAGTTGTTGACTCTGCTGTGGAAAACATAGTTTGGTTTCACAGGCTCTCTGTCTTGCCCTCATTAAGTCTTGCTCACATTCGTCAACAACGCTTTTGAGACAATTCTTAGCCCTATCAAGTTCTTGGTCTACTGTTGATGCCCTTAAAGGCATCTTAAGCAGTACATCTTTGCAATGTTCATTGAGGCAATCTCTGGTCCTCATTTGGTGTCCTTCCTGGGACTGATGATGAAATGGCTGTTTCAGTTCACATTCAGAGCTTTCAGACTCTATTGTATCAAAGTCATCAAGGTCACTCAGTTCCAGGTCTTTGTCTTCTCTTCCGCCACTTTCTTCTGCTGACAGAATTAAGATTGACAATTAAAGCTCTATTAAACCAGCTGATATACCATACTTAAAATGGCATTATCTTTCAAGGGTACTACTTATACTGGTCATACTGATATATAACACTTAATATTAATTCAGACAACAGTGCAGGCCAATGCAATCATATTTGATCAAAATTAAACAATTAGTTAGTAGTCAAACATTCCAACCACTAAATGATTATTCCATTGATGTGTATGCTTGAACCATCAATAGCATCAATCTATTATCTTAGTATGCTGCTGAACACCTAAAATTTAGCATGACTGCTACTACACATAGACAAGAAAATGATGGCCGGATAAGACTGAATTTCATTGAATAGTGCAAGGCTCTTTCTATTCGTGTATAAATATACTGTACCTGTAGACAGACCAACACCTTCCCAATTCCTATGTCTCACTATGGTTTATGGTTCACTTGAGCCAATAAAAGTGATGAGTGGTCTCACTTATTAATAGTAAGGCATGGAAGAGGTTGAGGCTCTCAGGGAACTCTGGAAGCCATCAAATAAGATATGGCTTTAGATATTAAAAACATTTCTTTATGCCACTTTTAATTTCTGAATACTGAAGGTGCCTCTGTCTGTTTGTTGAATGGTAAAAAAGGTAAATGAGGAAGTAGAAACAAAATTAAAAAAAAAAAAAACTAAATATATATATATATATATATACACTGACTTTTTTCATATCTTATTTTTGCTACTTTTTTATACATTCGGCATCACAGTGTACTTGGAAATGTCCCTGTCCCCCAAGCCAGCACTTTATTTTTTTCTGGTAATATCACTCGCTTCCATACCTGACTCGGCAGTGCTCTTGGAAATATATCTGACCCAGTTACCCCAGATCTGTGTACTTAGAAATGTCCTTATCTCTCCATCCTTATTCAGCTGCATAATAAACCTACAGATATAATTCTCCCCATCTCTGACTCAGCAGTGTAGTCAGTGACAGATTTATAAAGGGGCAACTGCCCTGGGCCCCCCGACTGAAAGGGCCTGAAGTGCCTAACGAGGTCTAAATATGGCCCTAAGTGTAGTGTCCTGAAAATCACTGTCCCTAACTCAGCAGTAAACCTTCTACAATCATTTCCTCAATGCCAAGCACAGCAGCACATCATCTCTGGAAGTATTCTACTATAGTTCTCAGTACTGCTTGGAGAATTACTGTTCTGGACTGTACCATATAACTGCTACATTTAATTAGGACATGCACAAAACACATAAGACAACTGATGGTATAGGAAAATTATGCAGCAGGACTATGGGTGATAATAAAAATCACAACCATATGTGTAATTAAACATTACAAAAATTACAGTAAAAGTAATTAGTCAGAATGTATCAACTCTACTAATTGCCACTTGTATGGCACAATATATTTCAAAATAATCATTCTTATTTGTGGAAAGAATCAGTCACAAGACTGCTGTTATTTCTGCTCCCTTCTCATCCAGCATGACCTGTATTACAGATAGGGTGCCCTATGTAAGAACTGCAAGGTGAACCTCTTGGTGACGTACAGTGGGTACCTCACATGAAGGCTTATCAAAGTGAGAATCAGGTTTGCCAGCAATATTACACTAACGTTTCCTATTTATTTTTTACCAATTCATTAATAATTTGTGATATATTATTTTGCTAAAATTAAGCAAATCAGACTTTTAAAACTTCCAATTTCCTTATGATTTATATTTGAATTGTAAGTCTTGGTGTGAAAAGTATCACTAGCACTAAAGAAATTCATAAATGTGAGATGATCATTTTATCCTGTTGATTAGATTAGGAAAGAAAGCCAATAATTGTCAGACTATGGGCCATTTACAATTGCAGCAAACATACTTTGTATGTATGATATTAAGTAAACAATCTGTAATTTGGGTTGGATTGTATTCACCAGTTGATTTTGTCCTCCTAAGATTTGGCTAACGCCAAAGGTTTCTGCACAGTGCATAAACTTTCATTTTTACTTACTGTATATACTTATTGATATTGTATGACTATCACCTATTTATCACTACTGTTTACTGCAATGTTTTTATAGATATGTAGACATTTTGTTCCAATAATGATTGTATCCCATTGTGTGCATTATGTTTGTTCACTGTAGGCCTTGTGTTTACTGTTAGAATTAAATGTACAAACCCTCAATTTTTTTTTCATTCTTTATATTGTCTTTGGAAGATTCATCTTCATCTTCTTCATCATCTTCCTCATAAGGCCTCTTCTCATCTGAACACTTGTTTCTTGGTGGCCAAGTCATCTTGTTCTCCTTTTTCAGCCTCCTCCTTGCATTAGCAAACCACGTGGAGACCTGGGTGAGGGTCATCTTGGTGATGATGGCCAACATGATCTTCTCACCCTTGGTGGGGTAAGGGTTCTTCCTGTGTTCCTGTAACCATGCCTTTAATGTACTTGTGGTTTCACGGGTGGCATTCTTCCTTCGAGTACCCCCATCCATGGTACCATACCTGTAGAACACATTAACATTGCTCAGATTTTCCACTTTGTATGTGATGATTAGATATATTCAGAAACAAAGCACAGTGATAATATAAGAATTGCCTTTTCAGGAAAGCCTTGGTAACAATGTAATACAGGCTATTGAACTGTGCGATATTGTATAGTTAATATCTTAGTGAGTGAACGTCACTCTGCCCAGGATATCTGGAGACTGTTTTTAAGAAGAGAAATTTGAATGACCTAAGGGTATGACTGTTAATATAAATATTTTCCTTCGTGCTCCTTTATTAGCCACGTCTCAGGCTTTTGTTGATGAAATTGTAAAAACGTATAAAGACAGTGGATTGCAGCTGAATATTTAATGCATATCATACTGAAAGGTCACCAGCACCCATGTGGTCTTAAAAAAAGGGTTGAAATGGCTTAAGTGGTTTTGTGCTGCTATAGGGATAATAGACGCAGCAAGGTAAAACTGTTCTAAATCCCTTCAGGGAAGGTGGACGCAGAGCTCTGCGTACTCCTGAACATATGAGATGGCTACATTATGATTCACCTAATACAAAGGCATTAGATGGTAGGTGAGAAGCGTTGCATGGCTGTTCATTTATATTGCATTGTGCTGTTCCCCAGCCACCAGGGCTTCTTAATGCATGAGATGAAAGCTGGTTAATACACTGTGAAACTCATGCATTTAATTCACATTGCTGTAGTTAATGGAGCTATACTTAGAATTCACTACAATATTTAATAATTGTAGATAAAAGTGGTATATTTAACTCATTAGCAAATGTAGGGCCTACTGTGAGATAGATACTATAGATAGATAGATAGATAGATAGATAGATAGATAGATAGATAGATAGATAGATAGGCAACTATTTAACTGACAACCTGCTAATAAAAATTCCCAACAGTGTTGATTACTGCATCATCTTCGAATTGAAGTCAATGTGAGATTAATCCTGTCAGACATGCAGCATTTTTGGGAGAAGATCCTATTGTGTGACAGGATCTCAGGCATGAAATTACAGGCTTGAAAAGCCATGATGTGACACAAGCTGTAAGCATGCAGCATAAGGTCAATTCTAAAACTGCTGGACATCAGCTCAGTCAGTAATTTACATACAGATTATTAAAATGAAACAAAAAAATCACTGGTATGAAAAGCTGTTGTGTAAAACTGTCCCGCATATGAAGTGAATCCGGCGATTCAACTAATCAAATGAAGGACAGACAATTATAAAAATCAGAATGATGTTTCAGTCTCAAAAATACAAATGGCTTCTGCTTGAAAAATATAACAATTTTCTCCATTTTTTTTTGTGATTTCAATTAAATGTAGTATGCACGTAGGAGAGTTTACACCGATGTCACAGCTATTACACTGTCCACTCTTTTGCGCAAATGTTCACAATGGAAGTGTCCATCAATAACGACTATATGCTAAGGATGATTTTGTCAGGTTGTAAAATCAGTTTGTTATATATTTTCAGATTATCGACAATGTATGATTCTTTTGTACATAAATTGAACCAATTATTGTCAGCAATGTCCCGCTGTATCAGCTGTCTGAACTGAGCAAATCAGCCAGATCTTTTGGTTTACTTGGGGATTTCTATTAGATTTAAATATCCTTTTTTTTCTGATATTTTGTTTTCCAACTGAAGCAGTGGAATTTAAAGTCTGCATAGCATTAACCATTCATTGAATAATAAGACTGAAACAAGCAGTATCTGAGCAGAATCAATGATATCATTTTTAAAGTTGCCTACAGACAGCCCTATTGTCAGGCATAGTAGGATTAGTTAGAAATTGGCTACTATCTGGTCTTGTATGGATTGCAGACTCTAATGAAGAAAAAAGCATCCAAGAGGCACTGGGACTTTGATGTGAGTTTGTACAAAGTAGTGAGGGGACAAAAAAATTTGGAGAGGTCATTGACTCAGGTTAGGCTGCTCACAACAGACAAGGCTATCCACCAGTGGGTACCCCAGCAGGTTGCCAAAAGAAAAGCATCCACCAATGGAAGGACCACCAAATTTCAGGGGTTAGAAAAAAACTCCTCCTATATCAGGGCTACAACAAAACACAATATAATACAAATGTAAATGTGACTATGAATGTAAATCAAATTGTGTTTTGTTGTAGCCCTGATGGAGGGGTTTTTCTGAGCCCAAAAATGCTGTTTTTAGTATAAACTAATACATTAATTTGGACTCTTTTATTCTTGGGTCTGGTGCTCCTTCCATTTGTGCATGTTTTTCTTTTATGGATTGCAGACACGTTTGGAAGCCTGCTTTGACATCAAACCGTTAAGAAGATCCAGACAGACATAAAATGACCATATATGTACGCATGAGCCAAAAACATACTTCCCCTTTAATTGCCCTCTGCAGGTGGAATGCACAACTTTACATAATGCAGTGTATTTAAAACTGACTAAGGCACAAGTCCATCCAGTTCAACCCGCAGAGAAAAAAAAACGCAAGTAGAAAACCTCCATAAACCCAGCCCTATACCCATAGTTGATCCAGAAGAAGGGCACCCCCCCCCCCCCCCAATAAAGCATGATCCAATTTGCTATTCCCTGGATCAGTTTTACTTTTTAGTATCCAGTTATAGTGTGTGCATTTAGGAAATAATTAATTCCTTTTTTTTGTTAAACAATCTACTGAGCTGGCCAGGACCAGCTCTTGAAGGACTCCCACATTATCACAGCTCTTACTGTGAAGAAGCCTTTTTATATTTGAAGGTTAAATCTTTTTTCCTCCAGACATGAAATGTACCCCCTTGACCTCTGTGATGATCCTAAAGTGAGTAACTCTACACCAAGTTCACTGTATGTACCACTTACTGTATGTACCACTCAAGGGAGAATAGATTTGTTTCCTCTAATCTTTCCTCATAGCTGATCTCCTCCATGCCTCTTATCAGTTTGGTTGCCCTTCTCTGTACTTTCTCCAGTTCCCCAATATCCCTTTTTTGTGAACTGGTGCCCATAACTGAGCTTCATATTCTAGATTAGATTTTACCAATTCTTTGTATAGGGGCAAAATGTCTCTCATATACAGTAGCTACATATCAACAGATTACATACTGACTGCATATGGATAGACCTTTGAGCAGGTTCCCAAAGAAAACTCAGGATAGACTACCTGCACAGTACATACTGAAAAAAAAATGAAAATTAAGATTCAGAGTAAATGACTATTTAGTTGACCATGCATACAACTAACCCTTGGCAAAGCTTCAGTGAAGCAAATGCATATTTAAAAAGCTGACATACATTAACATTTATAATAGCAACTGTTTAAATATGGATATGTAATGAGGATTAAAAGTATTGTATAAGTATAAAGTAAAGAACAAATCCCGTCAAAAAGAAGGAAATTAAAACAATTCAAGCAATTATAAAGACCACTTTCTAACTATATACCTGATATATAGTAATATAAATATATATATATATATATATATACATACACATGTCATCTAGGATGAAATCAGTACCTCTATCATACTGCATGGTTCTTCTACTTTCATTTTCTGAGCCTATACATACCTGTCACAACCTCAGCTTCAGACATGTTTATCTACACTCTTCCCCTTTGTGACTTATTATTATTATTATACAGTATTTATATAGCGCCAAAGGGTTTGCTCAGCGCTGTACAATAGCAGGGGGACAGAACAAGAGACAATACAGTAACAATACAATACACAAGGGGTTCCAGGGCCCTGCCCTTTCGAGCTTACTTATCACTTGAATGTAGACACAGTACTCAATACCTTTCCTGTGGAGTCCAGTGTTGTGGATTCCATTCATCCAGGAACATTGATCACTACTCTGAAATCCTGCTTCCCCTTTCTCCCTCTTGCCCTACTTCACAAAAGTATCATAAGACAAAATCTCTCACATTTGATTACATAATCATCTCAAGAAGGAGACTGGTATACCGGAATCTGCAGTAAAGAATATTGTAATATCAGGTATTTTAAAGTATATGAATTTATAGGTAACAGAATTTGGAGGGAGCAATTTCAGTATAGGTCTGATCAGAAGCGGATTGACCATTTGGAAACTCGGGCTCTGCCCAAGGGCTCGGGGTCAGTAGCGGGCCCCATGAGATGCCCCTGGTACCTTTTTCATAGGCTTTTTTGAGTTTGGGCAAGGACACAGGGGCCCCATGATCTCCTATTGCCCGGGGGCCCCATGAGTTGTCAGTCCGCCCCTGGGTCTGATACAGCCTTCTCTGTGTGATTAACTGCCTAAATAGGACCTTCACCCAAAAAGGAAAGTGCAGCTTATTCCCTTCATCCCCAGCTCCTACTTCCTCAATCCCCACTTGGGCAAGAATGACATGATCTTGTTCCCTTTTCCTATCCCTCTATTCCTTCCAGTGCCCGCAGCCTCCTGGGTCACATCACACATCTCAGAAGACTGAAGGGCCAGTCTCATAGCACTGCAATGCTTCACACATGCACATCCAGCTGTGAGACATCAGGATGTCACAACCAGCTCCCAAATCCAAGAGGACAACACCAGAGAGCTAGAGCCTGGTCAAGAATCAGGGAAGGCAGTACAGGACTCCATGGACTGGTAGGTATCTGTTTCCCAAAGGTAAGCACTTACAGTGTTTGTAGCTGCTGACTTTTACATTTTTACAACCCCAGTCAAGTTCCTCTTTAAGTGCTTACCCCACAAACAAGATTGGTTGTTTGCAATCCCACTAGTTTTATTAGCTGTGATCGATTCCTAGGTTCCTCCAATTGTCTGTACAAGGTGAACAGGCTCAGAAGGATAGGAACCCCTGAAGTTCTTTTGGTACAATGGTATCTTAATGACTGTGCAGTATAAATGAG